GAGGACACGACGGTGGTCGAGGGAACCAGACCACAGACTTCCGCATAACAGGTGGAACGTAAACCTGGACCACAGACTTCAGAGGGTCCAGCTTGGTGAGAGATGTCCGGTGCATTCGGGAGCTACGGAGCTCCAAACCGGGCCAACAAACTCACCTAATCCTAGACAAAGACTTTAATAAATACCTTTTAAGGTTTTAAACTGATTCCACCGTGTCGTGTCTTCCCATATGTTATGGCTCTTGAGCCGGGTCGTAACAATGATTCACAACAGAGGCAACTGCTCAACTAAGGTTCATCCAGATTTTAGAAAAAAAATTCAAAAGTATTCAGTATTTTTGTCACCACAGAAGCTTAATCATATTTTTGCAGTATCCTGTAATCCTTAGATTTTTACTGCTCCCAGTGCAGTCTTTATTCATGGATTATTAGTATAGAGAAATGTTACTTGAATGCCAGGGATTAGGGTTTATAGGTCTCTGTGTCAGTCTTCAAAGTGCCATCATCAACAAACCACGAGCTACAAATGTGTTTTAAGCTACATTTTCTTTGCTGAGAGTGAGGTATGGGCTCACAGAGTGAGAGACACATATGTGATTTCTGAACTGTTGTATTCGTATCGGCTGCTCCACAGTTCCACACTGGCACTCCTTCGCACCGAGTGGCGCCTGTTGCTTCTCCTCTGCCACCTGCGCCACAGAAACGTCTGCTCGACTGAGGATCTTCCTGAACTGCTCAAGGTCTCCTCTTCTACAGTACTAACAGCCTCCAGAGATACAGCCACGCACTCCAGCGTCTCTGACATAACATCATTCGGCTGCATAAGTTCTTGGAGATCTGGTGATGATGGTTCTGTATCAGACAGAGACAATTCTGGGCCTGGGCTTGTAGGACCAAAGTCAATTTCCAGTGATGTGTCAGGAGATACTGAGCTAGGAGGGGATATTGTGACAACGACCTGTGGAAATAGGACGTCCTGTGATTCGGAGGCTACATCCTGAGTCATGTGATCTGATGGATCTTCCAAACAGTCTATCTCTGCTGACGGATCCATGAAGCATTTTGTATCAAGTTCATCAGATGGTACTGGGGAACTTTGAGAATCAAATTGGTATGCAGGCGGTTCTAAATCCTCAGCATTGAAGGAAGAGTCTGWACTCAAGTTAAAAGGCTCTGGTTCAGGGTCCATGAAAACTGAGTCAAGGTCATCTTGATCCAGGGAAGTCAGCATGACCAAGTCAAAGTGGACCAGATCGGCATGGAATATGCGGGTGGCTTCCAGCGGATCGGGGAGCGGTGGCCATTCTGAGTCTTGAGACTCTGGTTCAATGTTTACCTGAGATTCCACTGAACTGGAAGCAAAGGTTGAGACAGATATGATTTGTTCTGGAGGAGGCTCAGAAGGATAATCAGGAACAGAAATAACTGGGTCTAGATTTGTTTCAGTTGGACTTAAAGGTGAGTCTGTATCAAAGTACTCTGACACAACAATAGATGGGCATTTGATCTCAGTCTGTAARTCACGTGGTGTAACAGCATCACAAACTGATGGTGGGTCTTCTTTTGGTATATTTGCTGCTTTTGTTTCTATCTCTGGCGAATCTGAGGGATCTGAACCTGCTGATGCTGAACAAGGCAAAACCATGGTAGGAGGGTCATGGGAGACAGGTTGTGGCTTATCATCTGTGACAAGATCTACAGATTCTGGATCTGAGACTATGTCACTCTCATGCTCCTCTGGTGGTGACACAGTAACAGTAGGGACTGGATATGGTAGCTTTATCTTATCTCGTTCAATTTGTTCCAAGTTTTGGGATTTTGTGTTATCATATTGTGATAGTTCAGTGTGTGAACGGCACTCACTAGTTGGGACTACATCTATTAGTTGTGAGGTTGTAATAACTTCTTGTTTCATTGTTGATGAATCTTGTGTACTTTTGTGAGCAGTTCCTGATAATAGAGGCATGGTATCTTGAGTTATTAGTCGCTCATTTGTGACAGGATCCGATGACGTTGCAATATTTTGGACTGCCATCACTGGATCTGGGTTTGGTTTAGATGTGGAGGGTGCAACAGTTGAGTCTGTTTTTGTAGAACCAATAACTATTGGGCCCAAAGATAGTGGAATGGCACTTTCTACATACATTGACTGTGGACTTGCAAGGATGCTTGGGTCCATTGAAAGCTGTTTTGGCAAACTTCGACGAGCATTTTTCTTTTCATCCTTCTCTTCAGGACAGTTAACAGCAGCATCTGCAGTGCTTTGCCTGACTAACACTTTGCTTTTTGCCTGAATTCCCACTGAAACTTTGGCTACATGGGCTGTTTTCTCTCTCGCTCCCCCAGTGTCTTTATCTGTTGCAGAGGTTCCTCCCATCTCTTGGTTTGCCCCAACCTTTGCTCCTGTCCCTGAACCAGTCCCGGCCACTTTGCCTAAGCTTGCACCCGATCCTGCCACCATGCTTCCACCTTGGGGGGACCACGTGTTGTAATGCTGCGTGAAAGTGTTGAAATTAGTGTTGAAAGCACGAAGTTCTTTACAGAGGTCCCTCCTGAGCTCGGCTAACTCTCGACGCATGGCAGAGACCTCTTCCTTCCACTGCATGCTAATAGCGGCAGCCAGTGTGGCTGACTCTTTGATGCTGGCCTGGATGTCTTTTGGTGATGGTCGTTCTGGGGCGCTAGATCTGGGAGATCTGAAGAGGCTTGGAGAAACAGGTGGTCCGGACACGGGCTTTGCTGTTGCCCCCTCAGGCTTGTGGTGGTAAAGTCTGTCTCTTCTGATGGGGCAGCCGAGGTCGTCATGTGTCAGTGGGGCAGAATCTGGCAGATCCTCATGAATACTGTCCTGGTCTTGTAAACAAGTTTCATCCTGCACAWAATTTCTGTCTGGAAGACAAACGTACATATGTTTCTGTAACATGACCACAGGTGTGAACAGCTGGAGAGAATGTGCTTTTTTATTGTCACAAAGCACACTAACATTGTGTCATGCACTGAAAACCATGAGTCAAAACAAGATAACAGCTGGAACATACAGCATCCGAGTGCTTAAGTAAGATAATTATTCCAATTTGCTCATCAGTATAACAGATCATTAAAAAAAACTCAAACCTGCTACATTCCAAAGATTCACTCCTATTTTGACTCATTTCATGAAATTGCTTACACTGCCTTCTCAGCCTTAATTTGTGGCATGCATTCTTCAAATATTTTCAAAGCACAAAGCCAAAACTCCGAGGTGTCAAAGCACATCACAGAAAAAAAGAAAAAGAAAAAAAAAAAGAGAGACAATGTCCATGATAAAGCTAATCGGGCTTTAAAGTCGACTCTTTTATGATTTAAAAAAGAAAATGCTAACTTTGTGCAGTGAAAAGAGGCGAAGGCGAGCAGAGCTTGCAGACATTTTCTCATCAATCAGGAAAGTATACTATGAACCCTATTGAAACAATGAAGTCCAATTTGGCCGACTGATCAAAAGGAATAATTGTTTTATGTTTAAAATGGATAGCGACATTCATTTTACACATGCCTTTTCATCTTACAGGTGCAAATGTTGATTTAAGATGATTGAGAAAGCAGTGTAAGCAAACATTTATTAGCTTTAAAGACTTGACAAGAAGCACATCTCCAGATGTTCAGACCTCTAACTCTCCCTACAATAACCCAGCTTATGTTGGATCTTTAAATTACAGAAAGAAGAGGTAGAATCCATCCACAGTTCTTGTTTGGGGACATTTTCTTCTTTTCTTCCCATTCTCTTCATCTTTACAAAGCTGTATTGTTTCATTTGTGAATTCAGCAATCACGGGAGTGTTGAAACCACCAGGAGTTTACAAATTATAATCAAGGCCCAGTATCAGAAGTAAATGCATATGAGTTAATTACTGTGTTATAGATCAGTGTCACAGCTCTGTTACCAGTGTCAGCTCGGTATAGCCTAATATTAAAGCCTAGACTGAACAGATTTCAATTCGGGAGTGAGATCTCTTTGAGGGTCACCATGAGTTTTTAACAGGCTTTGAAAAATAACCTGTGTAAAGCAAACAGTTTTGATGCAAAGATATTTCACAGTTCTGACATTTCTGTGCTCGTAGCACAGTTTGAACTTGACTTACAAGCTGGAATTGCTCTTCACAGGGTTATTTGAAGCATTTGTTTGTCCAGTTTGAAATCTGCTATCAACGAACATCTTTATGTAGCTCCATTCAGAAAGTTTGATTTGACACAATATAGTAGAAGGAGAACACGTTTCTCTATTCTGACTTGATTTTCATATCAGACAACTGTTTGGGATTTTCAATAGGGTTCATAGCTTTACTTTTTGATGCATCCCAGGGGAAAGAAAATCAAGCACCATATCCAAAATACAGTGGGATGATGTGGCACAGCTCACAAGTGATAACTACTGTAATCATACCTTTGCAAAAAATGGAAACATAAAAGTAACTCATGCAGTAAAAATAGGCTCTAGTTTGCACTAACTGCTCTATAATGATCTAAAACATCAACATCCGATGGGTTTGGAGTTATTTTGTTAGTTCTTTCAGGCAAGCAGATTATAAACTTCCAAGACGTCGTCACTGGGTTGTTCAAAGCAAGTTTAGCTGTGATTGTCCTCACCTGTAGTTGACCTGATAGTGGAGGTGACCGTGGACGCCATGGGGGGGATGCAGTCATCATCCTGGGAGTAGCCAGCTTGGATGGCTCGCAAGTAACTGTGGCTGCGGGTTCTGAAACAGCCAGGCAGGTCCAAGGCGTCCATGGCCTGGGATTCCACCTCACTGAAGACAGACTCACAAACAGACTCAAACTGGCCGTTCACCTCTGTTTCACTCACCTAGAAGAAACACGAGTCAGAGGCACACTCTGTAGTGAGACGGTTTCTGTAAACTGTTTACAGATTAATTTATGTCATTCAGAATGGAATGGGGGGGGGGGGGCTGTGGTTGAAATAAAAAAAACAAATCTGAGAGCTCAATGAGGATGACACAAATTACCATGATACATTCTTATTTGTGTGGTCTGAAGGGTATTGCAGTACAAACTTAAAGGGATCCACATTTAGTTGTAACATTAGACTTTATTTTACAGTTAAAATATATGTTTATCAAATTAAGACTGTAACAATACTGCAGGCTGTTTAGTTTTGGAAAATTTTAAAAATATATTTTGACAGAGACAGAGTCATTTTATTTACACACAAAGCATTCTGGGTAAATGATGATGTGTTTAGGTCCTCGGTGTGAGCGAGCTATATCCACCCTGAAGGTTAATCTTGGACAATATCTGATGATCGACTCTTTTAAATGAAACCAGAGAGCGTTGACAGAGAGGAGAAGGTAGAAATGACTCAGCCTGTAACTGAAAATGTGGATGGAGGACAACAGAGCTGCTTCATGGAAAAAGAACCTCAGCTTAGCCTGTTAGCTTTTGCTCTAGCGCCAACACTGTATTGCATTATATGTATTAGCTCAGCGCTAGCACAACAAACAAGCTAAACTGAGGTCCTCCATCCATATTTTCAGTTGTAGATGGAGTAATTTTTGTGTTCCCCTCTCTGTCATGTAGATGGAGGACCTCGGTGACAAGAGGAGAATGTGTAGCACTGAGCTAATACATATATATATGGTGATAGCATCTGGGCTAATGCTAAAGCTAACAGGCTAGGCTGAGGTTTTTCTTCCATGAAGCAGCTCTGTTGTCCTCCATCCATATTTTCAGTTACAGGCTGAGTCATTTCTACCTTCTCCTCTCTGTCAACGCTCTCTGGTTTCATTTAAAAGAGCCAATTGTCAGATATTGTCCAAGATTAACCTTCAGTGTGGATATAGCTCGCTAGCAGCCTCGCACCAAGGACCTATTCACATCATCATTTACCCAGAATGCTTTGTGTGTAAATAAAATGGTCCCGTCGGTGTAATATATTTTTAAACTTTTAGTTGAACTACTTTTAGTTTTTTTAAACTTTTAGTTTAAAAATGGTAAAAACCTGAACATCCTACAGTATTTTAACTGTATTTATTTTACAGTTAAAATATATGTTTATTAGATAAAGTCTAATGTTACAACTAATCACTTTAAAACTCTGGACAGATGCCTTTTACTTCTATAGCAGTAAATATTGTTTCCTGCAAACATCAGACAAAAGCATTTAAAGTCTCATGAAGCCAAGGTCATGATGTCCTGTGGATATGTCATGTTTAGTAATGGTTCTGATGCTGATTTAATTCAAATAGTGAATAAAGTAAAATCTGTTTGATATTCCCATCTGACAAAATCAAGACTCCAAGATAAACATCTTGTTTTACAGGGATTTAGAATTAGCGAGGTTTAGCTGAGCTTTTAGGTCTCCAAACAAATCAATAAGTCTCTCTTTTAGGTGGGAGATGAATATCTCAACAACCCCTGTAGGAGTCCTCTAATTAGTCCAGATAAACAGAGTGAAACCAACTACGGAATGAGGAATGTTTACCAAATATTAAATCAGAAAGAAATATATTGAGTATATTTTGCTTTATTGGTTATGTTTTCAGAGTGGTGCTGTAATAAAAGGCGCTCTTTTTAGCCATGGCAAAAAATAAAAAAATGAAAAAATAAAAAAATATATAATTAAGCAATGTTGTGTCAGAGAAAACTATCTTTTATGACAAGACAATGCCACCTTGCCATTAATTTCCATTTAGGGCATAAGCTTCAAGCGCAGCAAAAACAAATTATAACAAAATGATTATTTTAGACAGTCAACCTTTGTGGTACAATGACTCTCTAAGTCTTGTGCCATAATGCTAACATGCAAGGAAAAGACGTTCGCTCTGACTTGATTTAATCAAATCGAAAGCGCAAGTGGAAATTACATGGAAATGAATTAAAACTGGGTGAAAATTACCAACAGGTTTCCAGATCCCAGCACCTTTCAGTGTTTGTGCTGTCCACTCACCTGGCTCACCTGACTCACACAGCTGGCCTGACTGAGYGTGCTGATGGCTCGCATGTAGCTCTGGTTCCTGGAGCGAAACTTGGGGGAGTTGTAATTGGTTGAAGGATTCAGTGCAAGGCTGGGATGCATTTCCCTGGTGGCCTGCAAGTGGTAGCTCTGACTGAATACAGAAAATGAGAAATGAATCAGTTTATAATCAACAGAAAGCAAGCAGTTTAACTGATGCGTACAGGTGCGACAGGATGGAAAAAAATATCGGGTGCTTTGAAAATCAAGATTTCTTCTGGGCAACGTTGTGAAGCTTGTTTATCCCTAAAAAAGGGGAAGTCCTCTCGTTTGGCAACTCTCCCCCACTTCTAGTAAGGTAGTTTGATTTTTGATGAGCTGAAACATCCAGTCAATGCTTAGAAAATAAGGGAAAAGCAAATCAGGAGCTAGTTAGCGAGCAAGTACTTCTGAGAGAGTGCCCTAGAGTCAGCCGGGTCAATTAAATGTGCCGGGCGAGAGATGCTCAAAAAGCCATGACTGGTTGGAAATCTGCTGGAGAGAAGATGAGGAGGGAGTGAGCTTTATGTAAACTGAAGAATACTACGTGAGTCTATACAGAAACACCAAAGCGAAGGTTTGATCTATTTCTAAAGGCAGACAGGGATGAGTAAGCAGTTTCTGGGCTCATCGCACACGTAAACACAAATGTTTGCCAGCAAGAAAAAGCCAGTGTGATTACAAGCCCCCCAGTCCTTCCTGCGCTGCTGCAGCAAGGGCTTGCATATTTSTAAAAAAAATACATATATCTACCTACGCAAGAGCTGAAGGCTTTCTAACAAATCAAGAGGCAACCAAAAGACAATTTAAAAATGTATTCATTTCTAGCACAATACCCCAGTTTATTTCAAATATATACAATAATATTATTAATGAAGTGTTTGTCAAACGATGTATAATTTGTTTCACGTAGCTTCATGCATATTTGCAAATCACCCTAGGTGACCTTTCATTGAGAGGCCTCGATCGTTCGCTCATATGCAATATGTCAGGGAGCCAGCTGGCCACAAGATCTGAACCACTGCAACACGGCAGCATCAGAAAGGGGGCGGGAGACGCTGCGTTTGTATTCACCTTAAGTCTGCAGCAAAATTGGTGATGTAGTTATGCATGTCACTGTTGATTTTATCCAGACGGTAAGAGCTGTGGGGTAGAGAAGAAAACAGAGTTACTGAGTCCCACAAGAGGCTGCTGCATGGGATGTGAAGAGCAGGGAGTCCAATGGAAGAACAGTACTGTGCAAAAGTTTTAAATCACCCCCCTGATGTCTTTCTACTTGGGCTCCAAGGAGACAGACAGCCCTGCATTTAAAATGATCTTGGTCAGAAGCTCTTCAGATTTTCTGGAGATCTATAAATTAAAAATTTCTTTGTTTTTTCCACTCATTTTCTGTTTGGTCAGATGTTTTTTTTTTGCTAAGTATGTCAGCACAACTCTAGTTCAATCCCTGATTTTATCAGCCCATTTAATCGCCAGAATGATTCATAGAACAGAGTTAAGTGACACTCCTCCGAAAATACTCAAGAACAGGACTCAAATTTAGTATAAAAGCAGCTAAAGTCCAGAGAAAAACATTTAAAAGCCTGAAGAAAAAACGTTTTGAAGACTGTTCCAACATATATCACAAAGGAACATGAAGAGATGAAGGACGACTCAAGAGTTTTGCACAGCGCTGCGGCTCTGAATGGATTTTGTGATAAATTAAATGTTTGCTTGGGAAGTTTTCACCAAAGTGCTGCAAACATTAGGGTGATACAATATGACCAAAAATAACCTTTGAGTGATGAGGAAAGTGGGGAAATGTCACTATTAGAGTTAGCTGAAAAGAGAATTGCCAGAGTGAGACAACATCTTCTAATGATAAAAAAAATGTCCACAAACATGWGCGGTGTAATGAGAAGTGTTAGAGGTGTGCACACACACAATGCTCATCACCACAGCTGACCATAAGCGTCAGATGATGCACAAAATAATTACACTCCATCATAAACAAACATGTTCACCCCGTGTGGATAATTAGATTATCTACAGAAAAAAACTCCCGCAGACCCTCTGCAAGGAATATTAATAAACCTTTTAGCTGACAAGAGCAGGCAGATCACAAGCAAAGGCTCAGGGTGTGTTTTACTTAGTTCAATCCCTGCCTGTACAGATATTATCATCAGTTGAGTGAGGCGAGCCTATTTTGAGAATGTGTTGGCCCTTTTTGATCAAATCATGTCACAGTAAATTTCCTCCAATGCTTCTGATTGGTGCTAATGCACTTCCATTTTTAGCCAATAGCAAGACAAAGGATCGCACGCTTTCTACCTTTCATGTTGCAAGAAAAAAAAGCTTTCATTTGTTCAACAGACTCAAATATTAAAATTTAAAGKTTTATCTGTGTGAGGCTTTATGAAGAGGAAGATTCAAAAATGAAAAGCAATGTGTTTGAAGTTTGGGGGAAAATCTATCAGAAATAAAGGTTCAAAATAAGGAAAGATGATTTGGCAAAAGATTGCTACAGCCTTAGAAGGTGATCCACACTTTTTGGAAATGAAACAAAACAAAACAAAAAAATGTCCTGATGCATCTCAGTAATCCAGGCAAAAAATAAAAAAGAAAAAAATTGTATAGGTCTTCTGGACGGGTTCTTCTCTAATGAAACGTTTCGTCTCTCTTCCAAGAGACTTCTTCAGTCTGAGAGTTTCAGGCAAAATTCAGGCTTTTAAGCCCTGCCTCCATGTGACTGATACTCACATCACATGGCTATCGTTGACACCTAATTAACACTTATTGTTAACAGGGGGTGGAGTGATACTGGCAATAGCCGCACTGTAGGAGAGGGACAACTGAAAACGGAGGCCTCCACCTCTGTTTAATGATGGACGGTCTTTCTTCACAAAAATGGCTTCTTTTACTCCTCTCTCAAACCAACGTTCCTCTCTATCAAGAATGAGAACATCCTCATCTCTGAAAGAGTGACCGCTGGCCTGTAAAAGAGTGAAAACTGCAGAGTTCTGGCCATTAGATGTAGCTCGTCTGTGTTGGGACATTCTTTTGAACAGTGGCTGCTTTGTTTCCCCGATGTATAACTGGTCGCAGTCCTCCTGGCACTTAACAGCATATACAACATTGCTCTGTTTGTGCCGGGGCACCGGATCTTTGGGGTGAACCAGCCTTTGCCGTAATGTGTTTTGGGGTTTGAAAGCTACTGGGACATCATGTTTAGAAAATAAACGTCTCAGTTTCTCCRAAACACCCGCAACATACGGAATAACCACTGGTTTGGGTCTGGGTTTGGGGTCTTCATTTTCACCTGAAGGTTGCATGGAATCCTGTCTGTGTTTCCTGTCTGCTTTCAGGAAAGCCCAGGCAGGATAACCACACTGCTCCAGGGCCTGTCGTGTGTGTGATTTCTCTTTCTGCCTGGCTCCTGGGTTTGTAGGGACACTGTCTGCTCTGTGGTACAGAGTCCTGATCACTCCTAACTTGTGTTCCAGTGGGTGGTGGGAGTCAAAACGCAAATATTGGTCTGTGTGGGTGAGCTTACGATATACGCCAGTTTCCAACCGTCCTCCATCCGAAACCGAGACATCGCAATCCAGGAACGCCAACCTGCCATTTTTTACATCCTCTCGTGTGAACTTAATATATTCATCCACAGAGTTGATGTGATCAGTGAAATGTTGGACTTCCTGGGCTTTAATTTTAACCCAGGTGTCGTCAACATATCTGAACCAATGGCTTAGTGGCACCCCTGAAAAGGACATCAAGGCTCTCTTTTCCACTTCCTCCATGTACAGGTTTGCAACAATAGGAGAAACTGGGGATCCCATAGCACACCCATGTTTCTGCCTATAATATTGCCCCCCGTACGTGAAGTAGGTTGACTCCAGGCACAGTTTGAGGACAAAAAATAGAACACTTTGGTAAATTAATTTAAACATCTCCAGGAAGTTTTCATATAAATAATAATAATAAAAAAATCTTTTTTAGGTTTTCTTCTGCTATCTATTACATCCAATGTTTCTAATCTGTGTGAATTTGGTGTCTCTGGAAGAAAAATAAAATCAGTAGCAAAATAGATGTTGGCCATCTTTTCTCATCTAAACAATCTTCATGGTCTGATTTCTCCAGAAAGACCAAAGTAACAATCTTGGGACTTCTTATTGAGACTTTGAGAATATTGGTAGTAGTAGTGTTTCACTGAACTGAAACTGTTGCCATCTAGACACCAGCAGCCGCAACACAATGAGATACTTCCTTAAGATAAAGTTTGTAACACTATCTTTATTCAAAGACAAAAATGACAAAAATAAATATTGCCGTAAAAATTAAAAACAGAAGTGAAATTATGAAACAGCAAAGAAAACTCTTCAAGTATGTCAAAGATGTCACAACTTCCTGAGAAGCGAAACACTAACAGCTGATTTAGAGAATGAAAATCTGGATGTATGTTCAAAACCTGCTGTAAGACAATAGCACCATGAATCAGAGGCTGGGCGCAACTCACAAAGTCAGATTATAGGAAGGGTATTTTCTCATTCTGTACTCAGCTGAAGCTTTCGCATATTTTGTTGGAGTCATGCGCACTGGAGCAATTAATTAGCTATTAGAGTACAGAAATGCCACAGTGATCTGTGTGATTAAAATACAGATAATTATGTGTTAGAAAAGAGTCTCGCAAACAGATAATCAGCTACAATATGCATGACACGTTCACTTCAGCCACCAATCAATTGACCAGAATTCTGCTTCGACCTTGAGAACTTAGGAAGACCCGCTCACACACAACACAATGCAACCTAATTGAGTAATTACAGTTTGTTGAATCAGGATTCATTGAAAGCTTTGTCACTGTTAACTCTGATTAATTATAGTCATGGCAGCCACAGTGACACATGACAAAAATGGGACTTATTTTTGCAAAAATGTCTGCGATTGATTTGTGTGTGTAATTAGAGAGCAGGTCGCAGCTGTTGAAAGAGATGTTAGCAGGGATGGATGTGACACATGACACACATAATCCTGAATAATGGTGAAGTTTACCATATGTCACTCAAAACATCATCTTTAACGCACTGTTTAAATAGATTCATAAGTCAAATCTTTGCAAATATTAATAAAGAATCAGAAATTTGTCTAAAGTTGGCGAGTTTACAGCTTAAGAAACCCAGAGAAGCTGGGTAAATGATCATTAATTGAAACATCCACCGACATCTAACTTTACTTCAAGTTTTCAGGCTGTTCCAGCCCAGTGCACCGGTGACTGGGATGTATCTTTTATTGGTGAGAGGAACAAAGACCCTGTCAACCATAAGAGTGACAGGGAGCTTGAAAAAGAGAAAGATGGAGGGAGGTGACAAACTTGACAGCCCCGTTCTCACTTTTACACGATTTGCTTCAGGGAGTCGCTGCTGTCAACGTTGTGTTTGACCGTCAGAACACCAGATTACAAGTGCGGAGGAAATCCAACCTATGCATCTTCAGTCTTCAGTCCAATCTAATTCTACCCCAACTGGTGAACCACAGCAGCCTAAATGCTAAGATGTCAGGTGAGACTGCTGTCTCTAACGTCTCTTAAGTTTGGACTCAAAATAAGAGAAGAAATGAACCAWAGGCTGTGAAAGCCAACTTTGTGAACGTGAAAGCCAACTTTTTTTGGTCAATACTACAAAGTTTACAAAACATACAGATCACTGTTATGTTTTTTTGTTACATCCACAGTGTAAAAAAAGCAGAAAAGTAAAATAATAGTGTAAAAACTAGAAAGAAGATAACATGTTTATTACCTTAGTGAAAGTTATGTACCCTCTGAGGTGTCTTRTGTAAAGAATAATGTTATCTAAATTATCTTGTGCAAGAATAAATTGATTGGTGCTGTTGGGATGATGATGGGACGCAGGGGGCAAGGCCCACTACTCCCAGAAAAAATCACAAAAGAGTCCAACAAATCATTTTCAGGTCATACATATTTGAGTGCGCGTGAGGGTAAGCAAAATCAACTTCATATCTTATGAACTTATGGACCTTTTTTGTAAAATAAAAATAGGATTAGTAATTGTGTTGCATGCATTATTTAAATTCATTTATTGAAAAACACAGTTTTAACGTTTCACAACAATTATTCCAAACACAAATCCCTCTAACAGAGGTACAATTATTTTTAATATTTGTCCTAACCTTTGTTTTTTAAAATAAATCTTTCTTTCTGAATTCATAGTTTGTTTCTTTAATTTCGAACCACTTCTGTATACAATGTGGAAGACTTTAGTATAAGCTTTGTACATTGTCAGTGCTGTTCTAAGCTCTACTAAATCATAAAAAATTAAAGTATGCAATGTGATAAATAAGTCATAAGTTGGATGAAAATAATCTAATGCATTTATAATACGTAATACTTGACAGTGGTATAGAATTTACCTATGTGCCACGTGCCTGGAAAACACCCCCACTTGACACTCAAAATGGTAAATCTGGTCATTTTTAAGACCTAAACTTGAGATGAGTAGATTTAAGACTTTTCATGACTTTTTAAGATCCAGCAGAAACTCATTGTCTACCTCTCCATTGTATTGAAAACATCCTAAATCTGGCGTGTTCAGAGCCGGCTCTTGGTATAGGCGAACTAGGCGGTCGCCTAGAGCGCCATCTGCTGGAGGGGGCATCGAACTGCAGAAGGAAAAAAAAAAGTAATTATTTGTAATCCCTGGTTGYAACTCTGCTCAGCGCCCCTTTCAGTTAGCATTGTCTTAAAAAACTATAATGAAGTATTACAGGAAAAATAAACTACTCTACCCAGGCTTGCTGCGAAGCAGGAGGACAGGAGAGCGGAAAAAGTTCAAAACTTAATTCTACCGGCAGAACAAGTTGGAAGATGGCTACGTTATTTGTTTTTTTTTTAAATCATCCTACAGGCTCTGACATGTTAGATCATTTTAAAAATGAAGTTTTGAAAAAATCCGTAAGACTTGAAAAAAATCTGTGAGATTGCTCTATACGTCTGTATACCTGCAAAATGACGTAAAATCCTTATAACTTACAGACAATCCATACAAGCTAACATGTATGTTGTTACTTATTTGCTTTCTGGGAAAGCAAATAAATCTAAGTTTACCATAGTACATTTCACTGTCAAACTTGTTTTTAGGGGTTTAAATTGGGGTGGGTGGGACATAGTTGGGGGATGGGKGTGCGCTTCAACTCGCCTAGGGCACCAAAATGGCTAGAGCCAGCACTGGGCGTGTTGCACATCTTCATTAAAGATGCTGCAGAATGGTTATCTGTGGTAGCAGGTTGAGTTTTTGGGGGAACAGATTAGTTGAGGGAAGGTTGCCAGGTGAGGTTGATTAGAGCAGCTGTGAGGCACCGTTTAATCAATCTCTCTGTTTATACTGTATGCTGTAGTGTGCTGGGACCCTGGAGACTGCCCCACAGCTGCAGCCACATCCGCTGCCGCACAGGATGGCTGGTAGAGGTGGTGTAATATTTTATCRTGTGTATTATGTCCACGCAGCTCTGTTAGCTTCACTCCTGAGCTGTGCACGGTGTATTGGTTCGTGAATGTGGAGTGGCTGGAGGCCAATTAAGACACAACTGTCTGCTAGAGTTTTGGACTTAAAGACCGCTGCAGTGAAGGTTTGAAAACGGTCCAAGTTTCCATTAAACACGGTGCAGGTGTGGTAGTTCAAACAATGCAGAGAGAGGTGGACACTGCACGGATTTAAAGGTCAAGTTCTGTCCAGAATCAGTCTCAGAAATCTGTGATCCCAAATAAAAATAAATAAAAATTCAGAGGATGCCAGATCACGGCATCCTTCTCTGAGTGGATTTGCAGGAGGATCAGGATGCTTCGGTAACKACCCCCATGGGGACACTCTTGGCGTTTGAAATAAAAGCACCAACAAGCCCTCTTCTGCACACTCAATACCGCAGCGACCTGCGTCGATGCTCTAGAAGGCAGGTCACACAATCCGAGCCATGCTGGTCAATATCTTGCCTTTAGCAGAGCTCAGCAGACTCTGGGTCTAACCACAGAGAGAGACGTTTATTCAKTGGGGCCTTGGAGTACAATAACTGTTATTGATATCCCTTCCTGCTGTTGCATCCTCATAAATCATTCACTGTTTACAGCTATTCAGAATGGATTGTGAGGGAGAGATTTACAGGAAGTAAAAAAAATAAAATAAAACGCAGGAAGCCTTACCGTGGCAGTAGCATACATTACAACACAAACTGAGAGAAGTGTTAAAAGAGCACAAAGACAGCATCTTCTGCGACAGATATCATCATGATCCTCTCTGATCACAACCCATAACATTCGATTTGCCATTATACCTCCGCTGAGGGAAATATCTGGCTTATTATGTGGGCATAAAAAGGGACTATTTGAGAGTAATAGCGAGTTTTTGAATCTTTACAATCCTGCTTCCCTTTCTTGTCATCCTGCAAGGAGAAGAAAATGCTCACCGTGAGTCCTGTCTGCGTGCCTGTGTATAAATTGGGATTCTAATAATACGGGGACTCTGCACATGTTTCCCACTGCTGTTTTCATAATTCAAGGGAAAATTATTCTGCCTGACAGAAAACAAACCTTCTGAACAGAAACGAACACGACGTCAGGAGATAAAACAACTGGAAACAGAACAATAAGCCGTTGTTTCATCTCTTCCTGTCATCCCAAACTGCATCAATGTGACTCATGGAATACAAATTACAATAGATTTAATACAAGGTCATTTGAGCATAAAACCTACAACTTACGTCAGATTATTTGCCTGCAGACAGGCTGCACAGACACTGCAGTTTATGCAGAAATGGCAATAATTCAGTGAGGAGATCTTTTGCACAATCTTGTACAAATAGAATATTCTGCATGAAAGATACGATCAAACAAAGTTGTCCGATTTTGTTGTGGCAACCGATTCACAGCAGAATCAGATTAGTTATGTCATCACTAAATCTATATGTGATCAATTCACGCTGATTTGAATTGATGGAGCAAAAAAATTTAAATAAATTTTGCATCATAAATGAAAGAGACGCAGCAATTTTTGAAAGCATATTGTTAAAAAAACCCCCACAATGCAGTCACCTCCACAGGTCACCAAATTACCAGGAAACGTTTGTATTTTCATCTCAAACGCTTATTTTATCTGCACCCTGTTTTTACCAACCAAAATAAAAGCCTCTGACAATATCTTATATTCAATCAGACCTTTCGCATTTCACTCGAGGCTACAAGACTTTAATCGGCCCTTTTACGTCCACTTAAGGCTGTGCTTGTAAGCGCACTCAAACTTCAAGAGGCAGATAAAAATGTGTTTTAAAAAGGGCAGGTTTCCTTCTGACCTGCCCTTTTAAATTCTTCTGTGTTCCCAATCTGCTGCAAACAAAGAGGGAAAAAAAAAGTCCCATTTAAAGTGAGAAGAGAAAGGAAATGTTGCTTTTCGACAACATTTAAAATGACTTTGAAAAATAAGAATGAGTAGTTCTTTTTAAAGGTTCAAATTTGGCAGCACGGCGGCTCAGTGGTTAGAACTGATGTTTCACAGCAAAAAGGTCCTGTTCGATCCCCGGTTCGGACCTGGGGTCTTTTCCCCTCAAACCCCAAAAACATGTACAATAGGTTGCCTTCAGGCCCAGGCCTCTCTTGAAAAAGAGATATGTGATCTCAATGGAATTTGCCTGGATAAACAATGGTAAATAAATAAATGTGAAAAAAGAAAACTCACAAACCTCTGAAACTAACAGACAGATTAGTACAAAAAGTAAGGAAGTATTTTGCTTAGACAATATTTAAACCAGTAGTTTGTTTATGTGAAATGAATCAACAAGAAGATGGAAAAATAATGTCTGATACCATTAAAGGTCAGGAAAGAACTGAAATTATATCACAGAAAATAACAGTAATTTACTGTAAACAGCTCTTCTTATTCAAAACAGCCAAAACATTTTTACATTTGCTATACATACTTACCATTATTATGAGTCACAATTATGCTCTCATCATATTTTTTCTTTAAATAAAGAAGGCCAATTTATCTGGGTCCTGATTGATTTATGAAAAAAGTATAAAACATCCAAGGAGGTGAATACTTCTATAGGCACCATAATGGAACACAACCCAGCAGAAAGCTCTCAATGTTTTCATACAACTAATATGAAAACCCATAAAGAAAATTCTAATAAGACCCAGCTTTATCAACCAGCAGCTTGACACTGACGTAAAGCTGGGACCATGCATGAAACATGAAAACCACCAACACTGAGGGGAAATGTGCATGAGAGAATAGCAAGCGGGATGTGGTTCAAACAGACACTGACAGTGAGCTGAGATGAAATGGGGTCTTGAGATTCACTTATTAAACAGGAGCACATGAAATATACCACAGTGCACCAAGTGGAGATTATTCACTCAGATCCTGATATATGATTTTTTTTCTTTTAGAAAGTTTTTTAGAAAGTACCTCACCCTGCCTTCCCTGCATGACTTTGTAACAGTGAAACTGTCTCGAAAAACTCTAGTGGTATCAGATAAAAATGTCAGGGCTAAAAACAAATAAATACACACACATGAAAACTGTAAATTTGTTACGTAATCAAAAAGATTATTTCTGAATAATAAGCAAAAGCATACGAGGGAGAAACTAAGCAGACACGATGAGGCGGAGATTTTTGATTGAACTTGTGTCGTACCTCTGAGAGTCCAGCAGGTCCTTGGGTCTGATGATGGCCTTGATGAGGGCGTCTGGTCGCACCGACTTCTGAGGCGAGGTCTTGGGGCTGGAGTCCGACTCTCCGCTCTCCTCGTCCCCCATGGCTTTAACGTAGCTGCTGCTCCGCATCCGACGACAAGGAATCTCGTCGTCCTTCCCACCCCCAGGGTAGCCCGCCCACTCATCCTGGGGTACCTGAGACCAGAAAACACACACAGGCTGGTTTGTGTGTTTATGCTGCCTAAAAACAAAGGGACACGATAATGTTTTTCTCGTGCCTGTGTTAGCTTTGATTAACTCGATTTCAGATGCACACATATTTTATACTTTGTGAAAGTCTCTGTTTAACACGTGCCCCGCTCCAGCAGTGTAAACACAGAATGTTTTACATTTTAGAAATGTGGACCTGTTTTAAGGGTACCTCCTTGTTTACTATGACATCACATCCGGGGTGTGACCAGGTTTACTTTAAACATTGTAAAAACACGAGACCCGTGGCCATTTTGTTTTTAGGTCTCTGGAGCCACAGACATGCTCGTAGTGAAAAGGTGCCTTTAGATCTGAAAATAAATATACAACTTATATCTGCAAATAATTGGGCTTCCAATTTGAACAATTGTTTTACGCCTGTCTGTGTGTATTTGTGTTGGTGTGTCTGTTCTCAAAATATCTCATGAACCACTGTTCGTTCAAGGTGTGTTCAAAATGGCTACAACTTGGTCATTTCTTAACACAAGATTATCTCAGTCTAAAAGTCTAGCATGAAGGCTGGTGGGTGATATGCGTTAGGTTAAGATAATTAAACCTGTAAATATAGTAATGGCTAATGACATTACCTGAAACATGGAATACATGTAATATGACTTTAACACCAGTTTTACACACTTTTTGGACACTCAGGTGGAAGTATAAAAACATACAAATGCAGACTTCAGATAATTAAAGGACATTAAAATGTTTTCATTTTAGTATATGTGTGTCCTAAAAAACACATTAACTGAAAAATGTTCTGCGATTAAAGCTTTCTACTCATCATAAACTCATTGGGCCTCATGCAAGAACATGTTCGTATTCTTATCCTAAATTTCTCTTACGAAGGGTTCGTACGAACATGCCACGCCAGATTCAACAAACTCTTCTATCTTCAGGAAAAGTGTGTAAATGAGCTGCGTAAATTACACCTGTTGTATCCAGCTGCTCGTGCACGCGAGAGGAGATTAGCGTAATTACCACCCCAAAAACACCATATAAGGCTATGTTTCCTGTTTCCTACAAGTAAGTGTCCATTCATGAAAATGACAGTGAAAATTAAAAAGAAAAACTTTACGAGTTCAGAGATTGAAGTTCGTCTGTCAGAGATCCAGAAAAGAAAATCTGTCATTTTTAGCAGGTCAGCTGTGGAATAAAAAGAGCTGCTAAAAGTATAAACAACTGTGTTAAATTATTTTCATTTATTCAGAAGACACAGTGCTGCGCTAGTGAAGCTTAGTGAAGAAAACCCGTCTGGATAACAGCAGACTGACTGCTCGTAAAATATACGACAGGTCTGGACCACTCGTAAATTTTGTTCGTATCTGAAAAAAATCTTAGAATACGAAAACCTTGGTGAATGCCACAAATTCTCCTAAATCACTCGTACGCACAACTTAAGAACAAATCTGTGCGTATGAACGGTTCTTGCATGAGGCCCATTGCACCTATGGCTGCTTACCAGAGGTGTCAAGTAATTAAGTACTAACATTTTATTTACTTACTTATACTTTCCTGGAGTAATTCTTTTTCAGACAGTTTTTACCTGTCACAGGTGTGATCCATCTCACCTGTATGACATAAATCATTTCACACTCCAGCAGGGCGTAGCAGATATATGTTGCCTAGTATGAAGATGATCGTGGCAGAGATACTGTAAATATGCAGCTAAAACAAGTAGCCTGGTGCATCCCACATTTTTTAAACATTAACATTGTGACCGTCATTATGGTCTTTAGAATTTATTTATTTTTTTATGAGGAAGGTGGGGTTGTGCACTACAGGCTCCTGTGACATCACCTCAGCTTTCGTGCTTAATGGCTTCTTTTCTTTACATTACTTTTACATTTATATGTTTATATCTATACGTTTACTTGAGCGAAAAGCTCGAGTTGGTAATTTAACTTTTAAGTATTTCTAAACCCTATTTATGAACTTCTACTTGAGTAATGAAGGTGTATTCTTTTGACACATTTGCTTCTCTCCAACCTTCAGCACGTGTAAGAGTTCATGAATAAACATCTTAAAAGGTCATCTTACTTTCACATTTGCTTCTAAAAATTTATGCCCCTTCGCAGGATGTTTGTTAAATATGTACTAAACACTATTTAGTAAAAAAGGTTTCTATTGCAGCTATAAAAACTCTAATGGTCACTTTAATTGAAATCCAACATCTTGCAGAGTTCTAATCCTCTGAGAAACACAAACACACTTTCTTGATAAGCCAGCACTAATTAAAACCTTAACACAGCTTCAACAGATGCTCCATATGTACAACTCAATCTACTGTAGTTTGGCCAGACTACAAAACGCAACAAAGTTTTGACTAAAAATGCTTTTGTGAGCTTAGCTGCACTGTTAATCATCACTCCCGTTGGAAGACTGTCAGAGGAGACTAAAAGCCGCCTTTGCTCCCTCTGTTGTAGCCATCACACCTGGCATCAAAACAAGCCAGACAGGATTCACGCTGCAATTTTCTTCCACTCGTTAAAGCAGGTAATTAAAAATCCAGAYGTAAAGCATCACCATTATCCCGTTTCAGAGAGGGAACATGGAGTCCCACTTGCTGCCCGTCTTCGTTTGGAAGTGAATATTTCAAACTGCACCGGCAATCTAAAGCTGCTCTTAAAACTAAAATGTGCGCAGAGAGCAAACGTCTAGCACGAGGAGGAGGACGAGAAGAGATTAATACACTGGGATATTAGCATTTTTATTGTGGGAATCAATATCAAGCCGGGCACATTTTACTACTAACAAAGAGTGGTAAGAATACAGAAAATATGAAGCAAAATTACTTTCTGAGTCATGATCGTACACCAAAGAAACAATGTGAGATTTTAATAGTACATCCCATTACACGACACACAGTAATGTTATTATAGAATTTTAATAGCTTTCTATAATGAGGATGGTGGTGGAGCTTATTAAACTCTGCCGGACTAACTTGCAACAGTATAAATGGACCGGCACTGTTTGTTTGCAGTGTCCTCGCACACAGAACCACAGTGATGTCTGTCACGTTTTTGTTCTCTTGCTCACACATTACTTTTCCATTAAACACAGCAAGTGAGTTGATTAGAAGAACAGCTGACTGAAGAGCTGAGGTTTTCTCTCAAAATCAGCTCGACGACACACAAACGCAAATAGATGCAAAAGCTTGGCTTCCTCACATAAAAATGTGACATTGTCTTTAATCATTCAATTTTTATTAGATATATGAAATTTCCTCTGATGCTATATTCATCATTTTAACACCCTGGCCCTAAAACAGCTCCAATTCATGCCTTTATATCTTTTTAAGAGAAATTTCAGCCTTGTTCTTTGGTCTCTGAATTGTAAAAATGCTTTCAAACTGTGCAAAACTACAACGAATAAAATAGGGTTTTGGACAAATGTGTTACACTCATAATGACGACATGTTTCCCTCTGACTAACTCGCTGTTCACATGTTCACAGTGAACTGGGCGCCAGCGCAGCGTCGCCGTCAAATGTCAGGAAGAGATAGGCCGCTTCTAAATGTCACTAATGTGTCAGACACATTTATGCAAACTGAGATCTGATTAGCATTTAAAAGCAAATGAAAACAGAGCTGAGCCTTTATAACATCGGGTTACTAAAGATGAAAGTGTTTAACCACCTTTTATACGAGAGAAAACATCAACAGAAAATGACTTTACCCGAAAAATGACGGCTCCAGCAGCATTAACTAAACCAATTTTCTCAAAACCATTTTTGAAAGTTGGATTATATTCTGAAGCTAAGAAAAATGAACAAGATTGGCCAAATCTAGAACCTAGCAAATCTAAAACTTGGGAACTAACTGGACTGCACAGTCTGTTGCATTATATTATCAAAAGTGGTGCTTATTGAGCACACGCAACACGCAGTGACACTTACAGAACAAATGTCAAAGATAAGAATATACCCTAGGACAAAAGGACATTCTGTAAGCATGCGTGGATGAATCAAACTCACTTCTATTCCAAACATGCACTCACATTAAGACCCAAACCCAAACAGTCACTAATAAGAGTCATTCATCTCTTGTCTTAAGACAGGCATGCACCATCTACAGAATAGAGTGGATGGGTTAATTAAGTCTTGGAGGGGTTTGATATTTTTAGACATCTAATTAATGAAGGGAACGCCGGCGGATGGGCCCGAGCTGTGGTAAGATTTGTTTAATTTGGATTCGCTGCTAAACTGGAGATTGCAGGGTGTCTCCCCTGTGAAGATAAGAACAACAAAGAGAAACTGCGGGCACAGGACTTAAGTTTCTGCTGACTCTGTGAAAATGCATAAATCATCTAACGATTTCAGGAAGAGCTGTAAAAAAATTAACAGAAAGTTTTAAAATGTTTTAAAGGGATACTGTGCCATGTAAAATCCACTTTTAAACCATTAAATTGTTGTGTACTTGGAGTCTGTAGGAGAGCAGTAAAAATGAATTTAGTCTCTTCTGGTGCTGTGTAGCTATTTTTGTATTCTGTTTGGGTCATATTTCTCAACTCATTAATTTTCTATTATGTTTTCTGATCTATTACATCACAGTTTTTGCAATGAAACTTCTAAATAAGATCTGGACTTACCAACTACAATTTGGTCCTTTTATCTCCTCCGGCTCTGGGTCAGACTCTGGCTCCAACATGCAAGGCTGGATGGACAAGTCTTCCCTTGTTGACGTCTTTTAATGCATTTGTAAAAAAATGTTTCTGTGCTGCTATATAGTCATAAACCCCTCAAATTAGAATGGACCACTCTGGAAGCTTGAGGTGGGTGGGGTGTGAAGCGCCTTATTGTAGAGACAGCCTCAAAGTGAGTTGATCTGAGACACACTTCAGATCAACTCAGATCTCTTTCTTTTTCTTCTTTTCTATAGTCACTGATGACTGATATTCAGTTTYGTTTTCTACTAAAGTGGCAAAAAAGAGGGGGTTGAAAGAGGG